CAGCATTTTTTTTTTAGTACATTTTTTTTTTTTTTTTTTGTTTCCCCTCATCAGATTTTATAGACATTGCCTGCTTTTGTGGGCAATGCCAGAATTTTGCTATTTCTGCAAAATTGGATTGCAGCAGGTCCCGAATCACAAATGTTTTTTTAGCTTTTATTGTATTAAATTTCTCATTCAAAGTTTTAAAATAAAATGTTAGCCCTACCAAATAAAAAAAATAGTTTTTATTCTTTTTTTGCACTTGTCTTTGATTTTAATGGACTCAGAATAGAAGGGACTATTAAATTAGGCATTGTAATCTCTTACTATATACATAAATATACCACTAAATTTTGCCTCAAAATCCCATATAAACCCATAGGTTTTACTTATACAGAACAGGAGAACATATACAGAACAGAAGAAGCCAACATGGGAATTCACTTCCAGATTACAAGATCAGTAAAGACCACACCTGCCATACTAACCTTCTCCTCCTATACAAAGGTCAAATAATTTGCCTTTTATTCTGACTGTTAACTTGTGCTATCACTGACGTAGGCAGCAGGCATCTATACATGTATATTGAGGCTGCTCTGACGCGCTGCAATTACAACACATCAGGGCAGAATCAATTAACTGAGTCTGCTAGAGTGCGGTAATTACCGCATTCCAGCAGACTCCAGTGTCACATGCATCAGTGTCCCCCTGCTGAAAAATGGTGGCGGGGGTGTGCTTTAACTGAAGCCCTGCCTCTCTGGAGCACATCTATAAATGCCCATAGTGCAAAAATATAGTAAGGCTATGATGTTTCCTGGCAATAGTAATCAATTTAAAATAATACTAGGAATATGAAGTTAGTGCATGAGTGATTTTTGTAGCTGTGATGGTCCAGAAATTATGCAAGAGGCAAAGTTTTCTTAGGGCGATATCTTTTATGTAGTTGGGATAAAGTAAGATAAGCTTTCCAGTGTAAGACCTTCTTCCTCAGGTCTCCAATTATAGGAAGCTAGACACAGTAAGTTAAAGCACAGCACAGGGGAGAGGCAGAGAGAAATTCTCAGGTGTACTATGCATGCAATTAAGCAAAAGGAAAGAACATAAGCACTGGGAGATGAAAGCCTATGAAACGGGGGAACAGAATGGCAGGGGTCAGTCTCACTTTCCTGAAGTGGAAAAAATTCAGGAGTTAGATAAGTTATAAACAGGCCATAAATCCAATATCAGCGTTTAGTCCTTGGCTGCCATCACTTAACTATGTGGATGAAACCAAACAGCAACTACACAAGATAATGAACTTTCACAGAAAAAATTATTAGGAGCACAGTTGTCACAGAACCACCACTCTCTCTCTCTCTCTCTCTGACTTCCCTATCCTTGCACTCAGAGGAAATCCACTTAACACAGGGGTAGGCAATATAAGGCCTGTGGGTTAGATCCAACCCACCAAGGAATTTTCTCTGGCCCGTGGGGCAACTGTCCCATCTGGCTCATGTGTATGGGGCAGTCCATGCCATGTCATATGCTGCCAGTCCAGTTGCCCCCAGGTATGCAACAAGGCTGGAGTGGTGCAACAGCCATGCTCCTAACTACTTTAGCCCATTATTAAGACCACATTATCATATAAATTCACAAAGAATTACTAATTTATTTTAACATAAGAATCATGACACTTCTGGGATTTTCCACAAACCTTGACATGGGTAAAATTGTCCTCTCTTCATGGTAATCACTGTCACATTCATTTATATATTCTCTTAAAACCGTCAGCACTCGCACCATTCGTATTGCTTCTTGCCTTGCACAGTTAATACTGTCTTTATCTCCATCCAAAACACACAATGTATCATAGGAGGCCTTTAAACGATCGAAGCAGGACTGAATGAAGTCTTCATGGATCACCACCTAAAGTAACACATTAGAACAATTGGAACAAGTATAAAATGCTACAGCCACCCTTCAGCTGTATAGTTGAGAAAGTTGTGAATAGTTTATTCCAATTATTCACAACTTTGCTTTTCCCATAACTAAACCTTCAGTTGATAACTGGATCTTAAAAAGTGTCGTTTTTTTAAGACTTGTATAGATCAGTGCCAATTTCACAATTTGTATGTAAAGCACAAATGTACCCTTCAAGTTCTGTGTTGTTCTAACTTTAGCCAAACAGTTACATTATAAAACAAAGGTAGGACAACTTTGTACACAAGACACTAATTCAGATTTCTCCCTCTCTCTCTTTCATTTGCTCACAACAGATTATATATTCAAGGATGATTATGTAACAGCTTAACAAGTGGAATCTATGTCTCCAGACTACTTTGCAGAGTTCTGGCTTTGAAGACAGCAGAAAAGAGGCTAATGTGTTATTTAAGAAAAATGAAGTGTGGTAAAAGGTAGAAAAAGTTAAGTATAGATAACATGTGAATTCAGTTACAATTTGGCCATCATTTGGAAAGTAAAAGGGTTACTTGTAAGTTTTTGTATTATAGCAATATTTTTAGATGGTTCATGCCCCAAACTTCTAGCTTTAAGAATTGAACAAAAGCATTATGATTGCTACACTACTGTTCTTAGGTCCAGAGCTGTAATCCATAAAAACTAAGCCGATTACAACACTGATTACCAATAATATCTTGAAATGGACAAAATGAGATTCCAGAAGTCCCAGTTGTTTACCTTTCTATGGGTTTTTCAGCAACTTATAAATCTCTTTCACTTTCCAAAGAAATGCATAAACAAGTAAACAGGAATGTTAAAAGATTTGATTTGACAAGGCTTAGTTTATACCAGGTACATCTGTACATGCAATTAATGCAACATGATCAACTCTGGTGCAGTTTGTGCTGGAGAAAACTGCTCCTCCAGGTGCAGCATCTAAACGTGTGCCCAGGACATCAGCACTTCGCACTGGGGCAGAGCAGTCCTGGGCTGGCAGGGGTCATGGGGAATTGGCCCCGAGCTCTAGGATGATCTATTGCGTTTCCATTAGCAAAGCAGCAGATAATACTAAGTGAGTTAAATGTTGCCGATTTATTCAAAACCAGTAATATCAGTTTTTAAACATGTCATAGTAAAGAGCTAAAACTAAATGAAGGTGGACTCACTAACGTTGTACAAGTGAAAGATAGCATTCTCCTATGTAAAGAAGCCATACCTTATTTTTAGAACTTTCAACTGCAAAGCATCATGAATGAATTCTGAAGAAGTGACTGTAAGAAGGGTGCCTTGTTTCCAAAAGCTTGTCCCTTCTCCCACTTATACAGTTGGTCCAGTAAAACGTATTGCAGAACAAAAACAAAACCCCAAAAAACTTTGGTTCAAGAACAAATTCCATGTTCCACTGTAATTCATACTTTATTTAACATTCTTCACTTATTCAATCAATACTGCAGCCTACTATTTTTTGTTTTACCTGATTAACTTGTAACCTTGGACCAAGATTAGTGTAGATCTCTTTAAGCAGATCTATTGCTCTGTTGGCAATGTCATCATTTCCCTGAATCACAACCTAGTGGAATGAGAATAGTAATAATTAAAAATATATATATTCATGCATTTGAAATCTTTCTGGTATCAAGTTTAAAAACAACAGAACTTCAGAAAACCATAACCTTATAAAAGGGATAAGACAGTTAACTTCATTAATCAGAAACGGAAAGGAAAAAAGTTGACTATGGTGTTTAGCTGCAATCAAATACAACCAGTTATTTGTTTAAAATGATGGAAAACAAGATTAAGTATTAATTTAACTATTGTAATGAAATTATTACTGCTTATAAAAATAGAGAAATACAAATACATTTGTAAAGATAAAGGAGACATTTATATTTCCTTTAAATATCTCAACACAGTTGCATCACTATCAACTGAGCATGAGGTCCCCAGGTAGCACTGGTTTAGCTGCAACTGAAATTTAATCCTCCTTTGACCTACATGTGCTAATATTTATATGTTTTGTGCTAATGGCTGTTTAGGATTTCTAGGTAATGAAATTTAATACCTTTACAGAGTTCTCTTTTTCATGATAAATTATATCACCAAACTTGTAAGCTTAACGATCTTGAAAATTTACTTCAGAATCTCAGAAAAAGGAAAGCTGATTCCAATGTGAATATCTGAAAATTCAGTTACCAGTGACATGAAAGTAGGCTGAAAACTCATTTTAAAATGATCCCATTAAGACCCCTGACCTGTTACATATATTATACAATTAACTGGTTAACTGCACAATAAATTTAGAGCAACTAGACGTACAAAGTAAGACTGGCAATGTGTGTAAAATAAATAGCATACAATTAACTGGTTAATAAACTTAGACAAGCTGCATGCTCAAAATAATTATCACTCCATAAAAGTCCAGCTATAAAAAAAGAGCAACCAGCTACAAAGTTAGTGCTTGAAAATGTGCAACCAATTTATAGCTGCTTTCTATTCAGCTTTAATTTGAATGTGTGGCAGGGCGCTTACATGCAGGAGAGAGGCTCAATGACTGACTATATTCTTAGGATCTGCATTTGCCTTCCTGGGCAAGGAAGTTACTGCTCATGAAAGACACGCCTGAAGACTGGTCTTGTATTTTCTTGGCAAGGCATGTGCCAAATTTTTTGACTATATGCAGTACTTCAAATGTTTTAAAAAATAAAACCTCAATGCCGATACCATAGTGCAGCCATTTTTGTTCAGTAGAAATTCTTAAACCTTAGAAGTGGCTCAGTTAGACCCCAAAGTTATTCATAGGCCTTTCAGCCACATACCCCGAGGCTGCATGTAGGCCCCATGAGCCCTCTCCGCCCACTGCAGGCCCCCAATGCACTGTGTGAGCTTCCCTTTGGCTGCTCCATTCAGGACCTGATGTGGTGCACAAGCCCATGAGGCACCGGTCATCCTAATGTGCCAACCACACTGGTCCTTGTATGCATGGATTTGTATGCAGGCCTCTGTGTGTATGGTGTGGTGCAGCCCCACTGCATGCCCCCAACTGTGCTATAAGCAACCTCCCACTTTACCACAATGACTGATGCTATGTGGGTTGCCCAGGTCCTCCATTGCTCTTTGGCCACAGGTTGCACCATTGCACTATACTGGAGGGGGAGCCCAGGGACTCCGGTGGCAGTAGCAATGCAGTGAAGTGGGTAACAACATCTGGATCAGGAGCCACCATTTAACCCCTTGAGGGGGTTAGCGCATGTGGCCTACGGGCTGCCAGCTGGACAGCACTGCACGACTGTAATAAGTAATACTGTATCAAATGTATAGAGGATTGGATCTATAGCACAGAACATAAACCCAAAAATTAGGGTACAAGCAATCTGTTCATCCAGAAATGAAAAAATGTGGTGCAGGTATACAGCACTGGAATTAATTATGAGCACATTAAGATCTCAAGATTAAGGTGCATATGCTTTGTCAGTAAACTCAAGAAGTAAAACTATTTTTCTCCCATAGATACTACTAATTATTAATAAAAATGAAGATATTGTAAAACAACCCTTAATGGGGGAGGGTCACAAATGAATAATTAAACTATGCTTGCCAATAGGGACTTTAAAAAGGTGTATATCTGGGATCATTTTTATGGCAAAAATCACAAATCTCAGAGATGCATATATGTTACAAAAATACAGCTTTTTATAAGCAATTATTTTATGAAGTCGTTTTCTTTCTCTGTCAGATCTAGAGTTCAGGTTTCAGCCTATAAAATCATGAATCTGCAGTGTGAAAGGAAAGCAGCACTTCCTTCCACTTGCTACATTTTGTTTAAAGAGGTAGATTTTAGCTTTAAAAAAAAAAAAGCAGTTGATATATGTTCAGTTACACATTCTTAAAAATAAGAAAAAGATTAAATAAAAATGGACCAGTTAATTTAAAAAAAAAATCCCAATGAACTTACCCTCCAAAGGTAGTCTAATCCTATTAATTCCAAATCATCCATCATATAGGCTCGTCTCTTTGCTACTAATTTCCCTTCTCGACAGTTCACAGCTTTGAAGAAACGTTCAAAACATTTCATTCCATTTTCTGTTAATAGGGAAGGATCCAGCTGAAGCACATTATTTTCAAAGAAGTCCTTATTAATGTCAGGGTCTAAGTCTGGTTCATCCCCCATTAGTTTGGAATACCATTTAAAACAGGCTTCACGATCACAAAGATAAACTGCATTTTCAGCTAAACACTTCCATATTTGCTTCGCCTGAGGGGCACAGAGCCACAGCTGACCATCCTTCAATAAAAATCTTGGGCAAAACAAAGAGACAATTATTAATTGCCTAATTGACAGCTTAACATTTTAGAGATACTAGAGTTGCAAATCAGTAACAAAGTACAATAAAAGAACAATTAATATACATTTTATACCACATGTGCAATACAATATTGCACATGACCCTAAAAACTTTCAGTCACATGACCTGTCCTCATTCACTGTCCCACTGTCTAAACTGAAAAAAAACCTGCACTCTTGGATTCTCACATAAGGAAACTAAACTATACTAGAATGCATCACCCACAGAATACCAAACATGATTTGTACCTTTAAAGCACATTTAATTAAAACCATGACATCAACCCCTGCTTAAGCCTGTTTCACTTAGCACTATTTTGCTATAATGCTCATTTGAAATTGATACCCGATTTCACTTGACGCTCAGCGAGTTTCATTATAATGCTCATGATCACCATCTTGGGCCTTTAAAAACAACTGAAGTTGCCATCTTGGGTTATAAAATACTTTTGGTTTCACTTAACGCTCGGTTTTTCAGGAACCAATTAAAAGCTCTAAGTGGGGATTGCCTGGACTTTGAAAGTAACACAAATTCAAGTCCTAATTATTCACTCACATGTAACCTACTATTTTGCTGGTGCTTCTTCTCTCATATCCTTTATTTCCCCCTCTACACATGATTAACGTAGTGGAGCCACACAACTGATCTATCATTGATGCTTGCCAGGTCCTCATCCTGGGTGCACAGGTGTGCAGCACACGTGAGGAGGTGGTCAGCAGTCTGTGGTGCATCACCACACTCTCATATTAGACTGTCCTTTAAGCCATTTTATAAAGTGTGGCATTAAAGTGCCCAGCTCCAGAGTGAATCCTGTTTAGTTTAATCCATAAGTTGCAAGGGAGCTCATACCCAGGTGGATAGGGTGTTGGTTTGTTTATGAAGTGCAATCTACCTATAATTTTGCTGAATTAGCCGACCACATAATAGCCCACTATATTTTGAGGATCAGACAGTGAAATTACATACAACAATGGACTAATCCATTGGAATGAACTGGAGGTCAGAGCTGGAGGAGCAGAAAAGGACTTTGGTGTTTCTAGTGTACATCAAACTCTCAAAATCAAGAAAAACACTAAATATATCTTTGAATTACAGAAGTATCCTCCAAGTGTAACTTTACAGCATATTTGTCTTACAAGTAGTATTGGGGTTATCTTAAAGAGTTTCAGAATTGTTTGCAATAGGCTGTACTCTTCAAGAATCAGAATCCCATTACTGCAAATGACAGATTTGATGTTTTCTGTTTAAAGTGTTGTGCTATTACAAGCCTTGTTATGCATTTTCTTATATTCATAACTAAAACCAAATAATCACCAAATCCCAGTTTTAAGAGAAACTGTACAACCACTAAAATATGAAACAAACTATAATTCTTTAAAAAGTAAGCAACTGTTAGAAGTAAGCAACTGTTATCCTGCAAAACAGTCATTTAGTTTAATTCTGAAACAGTTTTGAGTGAAATCTGAAAGAAATCTACATAAGAGAACAGGTTAAACACAAACATGACATAGTTCAGTTGACGAACACATGAAAGATAAGATGCAATATATCCCTTGAACATAAACAAATACAACTGAGTGGTAGAAAATGTGAAAAAGTATTATATGACCCAACTAACAACTTGACAAGTTTCATGTTATTCTGCAACAAAATATTAAATATATATATTTTTTAATCCTTCTCTCTTTTGTTTAGCTGCTAGTTTTTTTCCTAAAGAGTCCAAACTTGATCATATTTATGTAACCTCCTTAAGGTTTACTTTTCCCACGGTGTTCACAGTAAGTTAATCTTTTTAAAACCTTGGAACATTAACATGTGAATATTCTAATAAAAACCTAAATCTGTCAATCTGTAACACTTTATTCGCAATCTGGCTGGCTGACTGAAACAGCCAATCAGAGTGCTCCAAACGTGGGGGAGCACCGTCATGATTTTGAAGCCACACCAAGGACTGGCCAGAGTGCTGCTAGCCTTGGCTCCCCCACCCTGGTCCCTGCAAGAGGCAAAACAGCGGCAGCATTGGGCGTTAGGTGGTGGCACTCCATCCCAGCCCACCCCCCACCCACCCCTGTCATTCTTGACAGGCAATTGGCTAGTACCTAAATAATCACAAGTTTACTATTTTATCCTGCTGCCACAATTTGTTGTACCACATTAATATTAATGCAAGATCTTAAACTCCATATTGGTGTAATGATATACGTATAGGCCCATCAGTTTAAGTTAATGAAGTTCTGAATATGCACAAGGTTGTAAGACTGTAAATTCCTTGGGGAAAGAATTCTCTCGCTGTGGTTTCAGTGCATCTCCTAATGCATGCTTGGTTTCACTGCATCCCTCTCCAATCCCAGGAATCGCAATTTTTTACTTGAATTTTAGCATCCTGATCTGCTGGAAATAAATACCAACCCCATCCAGTATGCTGAGATTATACAAGTAAAAACTTTTAAACACACATTTCTTTCCATCTCACATGCTTAAAATTGTTATGCATTTGTTTGCTTTTTAGAGGAAGTAATTTAAACTACTTAAAACTAACCGTAGGAAGTTAAGTCGCTCTTGTACTTCTTGTACATGACTGTATCTGCTTCCTGGTCTTACAGTTTGTGGATCATATTCTCCATGCTCTGCAAATTTAAGAACCTTTATTAAACAATACACACAAAAAAAAATACTTCAGCTATGCTGCCCTACAGAAAACCAAAAATTCTAGTGAAAATGAATTAATCAATAATCAGTGTTAGCACAACCTTCAGAGGTCTGGTAATAATAAAATGTGTTAAATTAAACAACGATACTGTCAAAAGCATGCTTAGCCCGCAATTTTATCCACAAACTTTAGCTTTCTTTGAAGATATTCTTTTTTGTCTTTCATTATGAAGAGAGAATTAAAATATTCAAGAATCCTGGTTTCTGATGACTCATACAACTACAGTGGGAGCAGATAAAGCACTCCCAAATGTACTGTGTATACTGTTCACATATTACTGAAGTTGAAGCCTTAACATGGGGGTTTTTTTAGCAGGATCAAATCAGTTTTAAAAGCAATTTTCTTTAAAGATCAACTACATACTGGAGACACCAATTGGACCAATATTTTTAAACTACAAATTTGATATTGGACTGTGGCTTTGGGTGTGGGGTGAGAAGGAAGTATGTAAGATCACTTTATCTATTCACTGACAGTTATATATACTAACACCTTTGAAACAGGACAGAACAATACCTTCTTTTCAGACTGACAATCTTTTTAAAAGAACTACCAAAGTAGAATCAGTATTTCTAATTCCAAACAAAGATTTTTTTTAAATTGTAATATTAGTACTTGGCAATAGGCATAATTCAAGAACATACATAAGGCAGATAATATGATACCTTTTACTCGTCCAAACAAATGTATATCTTGTGCTATACCAACTGTCTTATTAGATGGACATACACCATATAATGATTTACTTCAGGAAGCATATATGCTACAAATGCAGCTACAATACAGTATGCTTTTGTGAAAGAAATGGAACAGGAAGAAAGACTGAACTGTAGTGTCAGACCTAAAAATTCTATAGTTTACAATCTTGAAGTAGGATGAGACTTTTGGGTAGAAACAGCACTTCCATTTTAAATCCCTAATTCCACTCGTCTCTATTAAAGTTTCCTTTTGGACTGATCCCCCATCCTTCATCTCATCTCAGAAATGAAAGATTACACCAACTCTCCATAAAAGGTTCCTGCCATTCCAATTATATATTATCCCCCAAAATGGAAAACATTTAAGTGTCATGTAGCAATTTATTCTCCAAAAGAATTTAGGTATTTTATTCACCATAAGCACAGCTCATTCTTTCCTTAGAATGATAAAAAAAAATAAGGTTACTGCATTTTTAAAATGCAGTAAATCTGAAGAACGTTAGCACAAGAATAACTGACCAACAGGGACAATCCATCCAACCCCACACAGGCAAACTAGTTCCCCCATGCCAGTCTGCACACATGCTTCTTCTTTACGGTCCTAGGGAACTGTGAGCCCAAAATCAGGGAGCCTTATGTTCATGGTTATCTTATATTCAAGAAAATATAGTACATTCTACACCTCGCCTTATCTTAGTTTTTCTACCTCACATTCAGATCATTACAAATGTGCTCCTGTACATTTTATCATTTGTCTTTTCTTGAGAAAGCCCTTCTGGCTTATAAGAGGAGTATTTATTAAAGGCCATGACCTTTAAGTCTGTATCTGCTTCATTCCACCTTAATTTTTTTGCCTCTTCCCTTTCAAATTTTTATCCCTTCTTCTTTAGCACTGCTTCTTGTGGCTCCACAGCTCATCTACGATGCAGCACTGCAGACAAAACTCTGCCAGAAAAAGCTTAATTTTCCACCCAACCTAAACGAAGTGAACTTTACAACCTTGGTTGATCTATAAAATGTCTAGATATAAGGCAGTCTGCTTAAGGGGTTGGATAAAACACATAGACCAGAATCAATAATATTCTGTGGACCAGTAAGTATCAAGTACAGGACAGAAGAAAGTGTCAAGGACTGAGAAAGTTAAATGCAAGTGTACTTTATATAAAGTGAAGATGAAACAAAGTCTAGTCAGCCATGCAGTAAAATCCTGAAAATAAATACAGAAACCTAGTAAATACATTCAAAATGGAACACAACAGCAATAATAGACTCTAGAGGCAAATCAACTATATCCTTTAGTTGCAGAACCTCAAAAGGCATGCATATTCATAAATAAAAAGCAGCAAGGAGGCAGGAAGTAAATCAATATATTTAAAAGAGATCTGAGTTAGTTCTGTACATGGCAGCTCTAAAACAGGAAGCAGTACTGCTATTTTGGCACCGTAGGTGAGCTAATTATCTCTGTTCAAAAACCAGGATCATTTAACCTACCCACAGCACAACAGTAAAGGTATCAACATGCATATTTAGAGGCATTTTGGAAGGGGAATATTTAAAATAATAAATAAATTAAATAAAGTAAATAAAAGCAGCTGTTACATGTGCACATGCAAAAAGATACAAACATAGTAAAGCTGCTCCAACCTTAAAAGTACCAAGATGGCAGTTTTGCTACATTTGAATCATTCCCAGTTTTAACTATCAGAATGAAACAGCCTACTGCCCAAAAAATGCGTGTCCATACCCTATGGCTATACAGGAGACCCTCGCCATTCACGGGGGATACGTTCTTGTATCCCCCGTGAATGGCGAAATCCACGAATAAGGCACGGCATTCATGAACATCATTTGCGTTCATGAACGCCATGCCCCTGGTGGCTGGGTTTGGAGCACAACTGCTCTGGTGGTGGCGGGAGCCTGGCAGCAGCAAGCACAGAACTCCCAAGGAGCTCCTTTAAGTGCATTTAGGTTGCAGGTTCGCCATTCGTGAATATTTAAAACCGCAAATGCCAAACCTGCAAATAGTGAGGGTTTCCTGTACTGTTTTGCATCCACAGAAGGTAGTGGGCACAGAGCAATAAGGTCAAAAGCTAGGGACAGACATTACACATACACCAGTTTAAGTGATCAGAAACTGGTTTAAACCTGTAACAGAACAGATGTTCAGTGCACATAAACCAGTTTGAAAATGGCTGAAACTAGTTTGAGATAAACCTGGTTGAATGTAGTATCAGACTTAACTGAATTGGCTCAAACTGCTTTATGCAATGACTGTCCCAAGACCCTTTGCTGGTTTAAGCTAAACTAGACACCCCCAGCATCCCGGCATGTTCTCTGGGCGGTGCAGGGCTCTCTGCTCCACAGCAAGGCTGGTCCCTCTGCTCTGCTCCCTGATTGGAGCTCCGACAGACTTGCAGGCACAGCAGGGTGTGTTGGCTTCCCCATGCCCCCCTCCCTCCACTCACTGCTTAAGGAGAGATCCCTATCTCCTCTCTCCCACAGCACAGACTGTAGCCAGCATGTGGTATGCTAGCTAATGCTGTGTAAAGGAAATAGGACAGTGTCCACTTAGGGCTTTTTGGAAGTCATCAACAGCTCAGATGGTAATGTCCCTGCATTCCTCCCTTTGGAAAAGGCACACAAGGTTCTTTGGGTAAATCTGATATCTTTTATTAGACCAACTAAATAGTTGGAAAGAATTTTCTTAGCAAGCTTTTCAGTTTAAAAAACTTTTGTCAGGCTGAGAAAGTATCTGCAGCTGGTGTGTGCTCCTCCAGGATGGAATGAATAGTCAAGCCAGAGGCTAGTACGCATTTTCCATTGGAAAAAGCTGTTTAAGAAGAGCTTGTAATGAGTGAGGCTTTGTTTTCTGATGGGGTATTAAATGCTGATAACAGAGCTGATAAATGCTCTGTTATCAAGGGGGGGAACCCCCCTAATCACAGTGTCCTGCCAGGGCCTAACCACACCCCACCCCCACACTCACCCCTGTGCAAGGGAAGGGAGGGCTCCACTCGTGCCCCCTAGCTTCTAGCCAGAGCCACTACAGGCATGTGCCTGTATTTTTGGGATGCCTGTCTGGTTACAAACTGATTTAGCCTAGCCAGGTTAGACTAACTTGCAAAGATTGAATCAATTCAGGCTTAGTCTTTTTGAAGGTATGTCCCAAGCCTTAGGGTTCAGAGAGGATGCCAAGCAAAGGAAGGAACAACTTCTGAACAGTTAGGGTTACTGTTATGTTTCACATTAGTTTTAGAGTAGTTTTCACTGTATTTTTTTGTCCCATGCCGATTTGCTATTACAGCAGCCCTCTCTGGCCTGCTCAGTCTCTTCAGCTCAGCTTCATTTTGTGGCTCCCTATCTTACCTCTTTCCTCCTGCACTGAACATCTAACCAACTTACTTCCCCCTTTTTCCTTCCATTTACTTCATCCCCTCTTTAGTAAATCTAAGCAAGTCTTGCTACCACCTTAAAACACACGGAACTAATATGATAATTGCTCCTACCATATCTTCTCTGTATGCATGTTCTACCCTTTCCCCTCCTCCTGCATCTGTCTATTTGGATTTCAAGCTCTTTTCAAAATGGAATAAGTAGCCTCCTTGGTTGGTACTTAGACACTGCTGTGACTTACATGGTTAATAAAGCAGAAATTAGGGCAGAAGGGCACCTTAGACACTAATTGGTATCATCCTGCCCTACCTTTTGCCTGAATTGAGTAAAATGGCTAGTCACCTCTCTATATATAGTTATTTACAAATTTTGGCATCAAGATCACTAACTTCTACAGCACCCTGGTAGAACAGAAAGAAAAATATCACAGCAGCTTCATATGAAGTGAATAATCTCTGTATGCTATTAAATTTAATACATTTTATGCTTTTTTTGCCCATGTTTACAGTTATTTTTCTGAAGACATTCACCTTATCAAACTTTACCTTAATGGTAGAAGCTGGGGCTTTTGACACATGAACTAAAGGTAGACATTTGAAAATTTTAGATAAATAAGCCAACTCTTTCTGCTAAAATAAAACACCAGCACAACAGATAATATTGATAAAACATCTTTTTGTTTTAGAATTGAAGACTCACTGAAATTAACACGTGTCTTCATGCCTCATTTATTTTTCTGTCTGTAGACTAAATAAATCCAGTTCCCTCAGCCTCTCCTCAGAAGTCATGAGCTGCAGCTCCCTAACCATTTCTCTTTGATTTAACCCACTGCTGTGCTGTTGACAATCAATTCAACACAAATCCCCTCCATTTTAAATACACCACCCTCCCTTAAGGTCTGTTGTATACTTCTGTCATTTACAGGTTGCACACAAAGCCTCACTTCATCTTTCTGGACAAGACGAAGCTTTAGGAGTACTGCAACCCCAAATAGCAGTAATTCTGATAAAGACAACAGTAACTTAAAACAGGGTGATATAATGAAAGTGCCATCTCTCCATCTCCACATTAGCGAAAAATCACTGTTCCAGATATATCACTAGATGAAAAACATAAAAGTATTGTCCACATCTCTTTCAAAGAAATGTTGTGAAAATGGGCCAAGTTAAAACAGCTTTGCACAGTAGCAGGTAGACCTTTAAAAAAAAAAAAAAAAAAAAAAAAAA